AATTCAACTCGTTTAGTGTTGCTTTCTATGTTTCTATCTGGATTTTTATGTAGTTGAATAAAGCATTATAAAACTTCTCTATTCTTTAATATTAGCAAAACTTATTGGAAACTTATTAGAAAATATATTAATAAAAAAATAAAATAATATTAATAAAATAATAATTTCTATAAATTTAAAATAACTTATCCGAACGGAAGTGTCTGTAATAATAAATTATGACTAAATAACTTTATCAAAATATTATAATTTCCGTCAACTAGATTGCATTTAAAATCTGTTATGTTATATCAAATTGCTTGCTATATTATATCAAATAAGACAATTATAATCGGATTATTAATATTTAATCCGCGCGCGCGCATATAAATTAAATTAGAGACAAACGTAATTATAATTCTTCATCGGTTAGAATTCTCTTGTGTTTCGATAAAACGAGTGAAATTTCCTTCTACCTTAAAGAGTGGCAATATCCATCTTGCTACTTCCATGATCCATGTTGACGGTTCGCGTCACTGTCCGAAAGCGATATTGCCATGGGTCTTCGCATTCTCCTCCCTCCGATCCTTTTCGTGGTCGCTTGCGGTGAACGGTGGCAGGCAGAGAGATTGTAATTAACGAACTCTCCTGTTCCCTTTCGTCTTTCTCTCTTCTTCCAGTACAAGTGTACGATCCATCCTCATCCTCCTTCTCGGATCCTTGCTCTTTATCCACGGTTTTTGTCGCGTCACACTCAGGTCCTAGGGTTTCAGTCGTACGTACCCTGCGGTACGTGCCCTCGTCTTTCTATGTATAGCTTAGGCATGGCCCTACACAGAGATGACGAGAAAGAGAGAGAGAGAGAGAGAGAGAGAGAGAGAGAGAGAGAGAGAGAGAGAGCGAAGCGGAATGCAAGGGTGGTAATAAGGGACGGGTTGGCCGGGATGCCTCCATCCTGCAGCATGGCAGGTATGTCGGGATTGCTTCTCGCGGATCGTTAAGCAGAACTGCTAACTACGGGATTATGCATACTGCGGGACCCATCCCGCAATTATGACTCTGTTATGAATTCGTCCTGACACAGGGATCCTCCTGTCGGCGGAACGGCTGCGCCAGACGACGGACTGCCGCGACATGTACGATGGCTCGCCGTAGGACGTTTATCTCGAGACATTTACGGAGAAAAAGGTGTAAAAGCGCACTGTGCCCTCGGGTATTGATTCGCCCGTCTCTTTTCTCTTGCTCAGTCCGTACTTCACAATATCACATGCAAGTATCGAATGTATCTGCTCCGAAATTGAATCGTTCCTCTGTCGCACAATAGTTTTCTTAAGATTCTTGTCTGTTTTATATCTTATCTTTATAAAATGCCTTTGTAAGAAATTGAATAAGACATAGCGATCTATCGTATAAACTCTATTTATTAAAGCATTTAATTACTATTAGTAATTAGTTTTTATTAAATGGCGATTCTTTAAGAATTCTTTAATTTTTATATATCTATTTTTCATTAAACAAAATTTCATCAAAAATTATAATTTGCTAATATTATAGCCATACAAAATTGTAATCACTTTTATTTAAAAAATATATTAAATTGTGAGAAGAAATAAAAAATTAAGGCTATACAGATTTCATGATTTTTCTTGAAATATGACGAAAGAAACAATTGTGCGACTACTTTTACTTATTGATTACATTCGCTGCATGAGATTTCCGCCGCGATCTCGTCGAAAAAGTTCGGCGACACGCTCTCTCAGAGTTTGCGACCAGAAGAAAAACGACCACATCGAGGAACTTCGAGAAGCAGAGCTTTTCGTGGGGTAGAAATGGCGGTAGACTTTGATCTCACTCGACGGAATCTAATTACCCTGCGGACAGGACTTCGCGGTAGCAAGACACGAAACGAAGCGAGTCGTCGATCGTGAGACGACAACGTGAAGGTTCGTTACGAATTCCATCGGCGAAGTTTCCCTTCGAAAGGCTTCTCGATATGTAGATATTCCGAGAAGGATCGGCGAAGATCTAGTCCCTTTGCTTAGTTTGATATTTGAAGACGAGAACGATGACGACAGAAACGCGACATGCTCATCCATCGGATCACATTATTCTCGTAGACGGCGGATTTAGCGCTGATTCTACAATGTGATCCGATTAAATGACTTAATCAACGTATTTATTTGCTAATTTCTTTCGAAGCGATCAGACATCACTAAGTATCAAGTATGTCCATCGATTTATCAAGATCTGATTTTTTGCATGCGAAGCTTGTTTAAAATAAACGATTTCAGCTACGAGAGAAATCGTTGAAATATCTTGAATTTTGCTGGTTCAGCACCTCGACGATAATTTTACATTTTTTTTGTCTGCGTTACGCATCGATGCAAAATGTGGTTTCTCGCCGGCCGTTTAAATCACTGTTCAGATCCGCAAGTTAATTAAAACGTTTAACGGATTTGAATTTAGCCTTCTGCAAAGAGGCTAATTTGAGCGGAGCGTAGCGTTTCGTGAATACTTCCGAAACGGCCGCGATTTTTCACCGTCACTCACAGCGCAGACAGATTTACGTAAAATTTATGTAATATGCGATGAGAAGAAAGCCCTACGTAATTACGTTAATTATAAATCGTAAAGAGAAAAACCGGGTGGAGGGCTAGTTATGGGAATGATAATACCGAAAGAAAAATCCACGGATGAACTCTTTGTTCTGTCCTTATAGTATCTTGACGAGAATAAAACCAAACTAATTCTTCTTTTTCATCGTGCTTATCCTTCTCGCGTATTAGGTTCTTGTCCGAATGGGTCCTTTCTCGCTGTGGGCAGCGTCGCAGAGCTCTCGTATCCGATTTTCCCACGGGTGTCAAGGAACTATCGATCGCCATCCTGCAGCCTCACATCGGCTATGTACAGCGGGGCGAGAGAAAAGAGGGACGAAAGGATAGGAAGAGAGAGATTTCCAATTACAGGGACTTTCCGTTCTGGAATTCCATTCCCAACGTCATTGTTCTCGCGTCGCGCGCCGCGGACAGGACTTTGATCCTTCGACGATGCGAGATCGCTTCGCCCAGGACACTTAACAGTCCTTCACTTCATTCCGGAAAATGGATAGTCAACATATATGAGAAAGAGCGATTTTATCCCTTCTTTGAGTTCACTCGACAATCGCTTGATTTCGTGCAGGAAATGAAACGTTTAGCATTCTTCGGTCTAAAAGAGAAAAATATTTATTCTGAACGGAAATCCTTATTAATACGCAATATATGATAAATTTATAGATTGATAAATTTGTAGATACAAGTTTATTAAATACTTGTGCAATTAATGAGAAATTAAATAGTTTGATAAAATCTATTCTTAATATCATGTAGTGACTGCATCTTTTCTTATCGCATTATTAAGAATGTAAGTTTCGTCTATAATATTTTTGACTGCGAAGAACGAGAAAGATGAGAATGGGGATATAAATGACTTAAGGATGATAATACGTATTTCATGTATATATATTCATACACGATTGAAAACTTTGCTTTAACGGATCGAGAGATACGGGAGGAGGCAGTGAACTAGTCGAGATTACGGAGATCAAAGTAGGTCAGCCAAAGTATAATAATTTAACATGAGAGCGCTTTAGAGACGCACGCTTTCCGCGATCTTAAATCAAACGAAGAATGGAACGAGCGGTGGCGGCTCCGAGAACTTATTTATCAATGTAACTCGCGACGATGAATCTACGCTGTCGAAAACAGTCTGCTTATATACATTACTTCTGCATTTCTCCTTAGACGTGTCGATGTATCCGCGAACAATAGAACCTGAAGGTATCCAGCGTCGGGAGGGCGGTATAATCGAATTAACCATAAATTCAATGCATTTCCGCGCAAACGGATATCCGTGATTTATGCCTGGCGAATGGTCCGAAGCGCGAAAGAAACAAGCGGCGCAATCGCTCGCCCGATTAAAACATTACAACGAAGCAAGAAATAAATTTGCAAAACGACAGAATGACTTTCTTAAGTTTCCAACGTTTACATGGAAAATATATCGCTTTCCTCTACGGTATCAATTGTATCACCATTTGTCGCCTTTCTCATTTTACTAATATTTGAATTATTTAAAATTTATGTCGATCACAAAATATGCTGTTTTTTTTATGAAAAAAATGTATATTAAGAAAAGATTGATATATATGAGATTGAATCTCAATCGATTGTATGTAAAATTTGCATATTTTTAGTAAAACTAAATATAATTCTAATTATTGCTACACAGAAAAATACTGTACGCATGTAATAATTATTTGTTTCAAGATTATTTCAAAAGTTTATGTATCCGCAAATCTATTATATCATAAGTTCCTCACATTAAATTTATTCAAAATATATTCTAAATCCTAGTAAATTTAATATTATAACTTCAATCAAGATTATTAATTTTGAAAAAC